TCTAGAGGTAGGTAGGATACTGTGGTCTGTAAATAATTTAAACGTAAGGTTGTCTTTACCTCTAAATTTGGATACAGTATCCCAAAAAATAACGAGAACACACTTCGCACGTCATGACTGCTCATCCTTTGAAATACTGTACTGTACTCCGCTTGTCCTTTGGAATAGTCGAATGTGGTCGACTGTCTGAAAGAATTTAATTTGGTTGGCTGTCATTACTCAAATGTGATGGGTAACTGAAATACTCGAATGTGATTGGCTGTCATTGTTTACATCTGCCATATCCCAGCTGATGATGCAACTGTAAGTATTGCTATCTTAACTTGCCTATATATAGAAAATGAGGCATTTGTCCAAGAAAATGATGGAAGTGAAAGTAATCTGCATACAAAACTGTTTAAAAAAAATATCTCTTCCCCCATAATTACTGAACCACTGACGGTCACATGTATATTAGCGTAGGCAATATATATGGGGTTAATATTCTGTAGTGTCCATTAGGGTGTGACTGTTGCCCTCCAAAAATAAAAAAATGGTCCTACAATGCTGTTCAAAGTCTGTGTTGTGTATTTATCTAGGAAACCCCTGTAAATTTTCTTGGAGATCGGTGCATGTTTGAGCTAGCACCGTCGGCTTTACAAAATAACAAGGAATATTATTATCTAATGAACAAATTTAGTGGAATTTCTTTTATTAGACTTATAAGATATACTAACACCAAGCAAATGATCGATCATATCAATCTTAACCCTTTGGATGCGACATGCGGGTAAACCCGCCCAAAATATTATATTAATTAAATGCGACAAGCGGGGATATCCCACGGCCTTGAAAAAACTTCCCCAAATGAGACGACATGCGGACATATTATGTATTGAGGTATAGGAGTATTTCCTGAATGCAATATAGCTTACTTTTGTACTATGTTGTTTGATATTATCTGAATATGTAATACATATCTAAATTTGCTGTTTAGTAACCAAATTGATTAAATTTATTTGCCATATACCAGACATTGATTTATACCAATTTCCTGCATTTTTGGGTATAAATGTCATTTTTTCTCTAAAATTTGCATACATATGTGAATTTTTGTTCCAGATTTGGAAAATATACTAAAAGTTCTCTAGGAAAAACATAAAGAAAATGTGATTATATGAAATTCATTTTTGGCAGGATAATTGACACTTTTCAGGAACCGGCGCGAAATTTAATTACGCACCTAAAGGGTTAATACCCCAAAAACAATATTATAGATTAGTACGAAATACAATAATCCCAATAATTGCATTTCTAGGTTCAAGACCCATTTCTCTCAACTGGCGTACAATGAAAAAAAGAAATACTACTACCACCCCGCAATGCCTGGAGTGTTTGAGGAGTTCCAGCAAGAGATGGCTGACTACTTCCGTGAATCTCTAGCCCAACCATTTACACGTGGCGACTACAAGGAGCTGGTAGAGCTTTGTCTGCTGCTTGTAACTAAAGGATCCGAGCCATTGAACTTTACGATGGTCTACCCCGGCGCACTTCACAAAGCAAGGTGGATGGCTAAACTGCTCTATACCCTCAAGATTGTTCTTTTGTCAGGCCAGATCAAAGAGCAGTTTCCCAAAGCCGAGGTTGTGACTAAAAGTCAAATCAGCAAGTTAGAACGGTTTGCTGTGTTCACAGTCGCTGTTTATGTCCCATGGTGGATTGTTTGCCCCGTTCCAGCAAGTACACCACTGAATGACTTGAATTTGGTCGAAACCTTGGCTGAATTTGCCCCCATATGACGCCACAATAGTTGACAAAGCACGTGTGGCATTTGGTAGACACACTTGGTACCTAACTGAGAGTTGGCCCCACTGGCTTTGTTCTCGTCCCAAGTACAAGAAAGGACAAAAGAGGAGATGAGGAAGGCACTGAAGGCCATGAAGGCACTGAAGTTACTAAGAGAGTGGGGCTCAATCATGGGGGCTATGGAAAGCCATATCTTCCCCCTGTCCCAGAAAGTGGCACTGCCCTGGTGGACCTAATTGGGCCTGACTCAAGCCGGTTCTTCACCATTTTAGGCATGCCCTATCAGTTTTTCCACAATCCAGCCAGTGAATGGGCGGATCATGACGACTACCTGAACATGAAACGGGTTGTGGACAAGCTTCAGATCGTCGATGAGGCTGCAGAGCGTGATGTAACACTTTGCCATGACTTTCTTAATGTTGCTAGGGATGAGGAGCGCTTTCAAGAAGTCCTTCAAATAGTAGAAAATGACAGACTCCTCGTTCCTAATCAGCGCAAACAATCATCTGTTTCCGAACAGAAATCATGGTTTCTTGCTCTAGAGAAATAATACCTTGTGAATATGTGATAAAACCCCTTAATGTACCATGAGACAATAAGAATGATTAACTTTTTTGTGTTAGTGATAACAGCTTTTAATTAAGACAGGCAAATGATTTGTGTTAATATCCCTTATGATGGTTGTGTAATCTCATATACAGTATTGTATTACCTCGTTTACGCGGTTTCACTTTACGCGGTTTCTCATATACGCGGTGCCTCGCCAGAACCGAACTTTCACTTTCCGCGGTTCATCTACCCATATACGCGCAGAGTGTCCGGCTCAACGCTATTTTTAGATTCGCCCCACCCGCCTCCTCCCGCCTCCGCCTGGGCAAGCCGCGTGGTAAGGTTGCGCAGTGCATGTCTCTGTTGCGTTATCACTGACGTCATATGACGTATCGGACTGTGATTGGCCATGCATCCCTACCCCCCTCTGCTGCTAGCTGTAATTGGTTTAAAGTAATATGACGTGTCCACCCGGGGAGGGAGGAAAGACGACGCTTGACCTAGCCGCGGCAGGTTCATCCCTCCAGGCCACACCTTGTATACGTGCATCCATTATTCTGTGATAGTGATAGTGAAGGTGACTGAGGGATTTGTCAGGGAAGCCCTGACAACTGTAACTGATAGTGATGGTGATGCACCTAGTAATGGTGATTCACCTGAGGGCCAGTAATCTGCCCTCTGCCTCGGAACCACCCTCCATCCCCGTATGCCGACCCATCTCTTCTACTAACGTAAGTGTTACACCTAACTTTTAGTTTTCCTAACCTAACCTTTATTTTTCCTCACCTAACCTCTTCTATATTACTTATTGTGCATACCATCATAAAGTTAAGATAAAATTTTTACTACAACATAGTTGTGTGTCGTCAAAAAGTGGAGTTTGGGGGTCGGGCCAATCTCTATTGGAATTAATCCCATATGTTCTGTTGTTCCATTTACGCGGATTTCACTTTCCGCGGTACCCTGTGGGTTCAATTGACCGCGTAAATCGGGGTACTACTGTACTGTATAGGCGTGTATGCCGTATAAGCAAAATCGCTATTTTCTAAATTGCTGGTGCTCGCTCAAATATGCATGAATCTTCAAAAAATTGCACGTGGGTATTTTTTATGTCAATATGCAACACCAAAATTTTGAACAGCATTGTAGGACAAAGTTGGGGCAACTGTCACACCCTAATGTACGTAAGACTTGGATTCTCTTTCAGCCTGCCCCTCGTTCAGCCACATCTCCACCATCATCCAGCTTAATGGTACTACCTGTCCTCCACCTCGGACATCGATGAAGAGATTCAACATCGGATCTGATGTGCATTTCAAGCCTTTGGGAGACTCTGTACCTGTGGCTTCAGCTGTGGGGAGCTGAAATTATCTACAAAGTTGCATGTATATTGAGCAGTGGTCCTCCCCTCCCTGTTATATGGCAGTGAGACTTGGGTCACATACAGGAGGAGGCACCTGAAGGCACTTGAAAACTTTAACCAACGTAGTCTACGTTCCATCCTCTGAGTTCACTGGGAAGACGAGAACAAATGCCAGTGTATTCTCGCTGACACCAACTGTAGGAGCATCGAGGTATAAGGAAAACTGAAGAAGTGCCAAATCGACCCCCTCACCTGGGAGATGATTTCTCCACACCGTAATGCTTGGAGGAGCACCACACAAGAAAGTGTCGATACTTTCGAATTAGCCCGACTGCAACCGAATCAGACAAGCGCCAATGCCAGAAAGAGAGTGCCACCGCCCCTCCCGCTCTAGATGTTGTCACCCGCATGTTCAACATCTGTGAACGTCCCTGCCGGTCTCGTATCGGCTTCTTTAGTCGCCTTAAATCTCACCAATGAAGGTGACATCCTTAATAACTCGTCTCATAGCTGGATGATTGTCATACTTGATTCCGAGTGACAGCAAAGTAGTAGTAGTAGTAGTAGTAGTGGTAGTGTGTGTGTTGAGGGTGTGTGAGTGATGTTGGAGGTTATGTGTGTGGGTGATGTTGGGGAGTATGTGTGTGGGTGATGTTTGTGTGCATGTGTACATGCATGATGTTGGAGTGTGTGTGTGTAAGTTGTAAAAAGTACTGGACTTTGTTACATAAGTGAAAGTATTGTTACATTGGCAAAAAGTTACTCACATAAAGGTAAAAATTATCTCGTTCATAAAGTACTCAAGTACAGTACTGAAAGTAAAATGTAACAACAAAATTATTAATTGTCTCAAATATTAAAATAAATTCACAGTAATTTATTAAAAAAAGGTAGTTAACTAAAGGTAAAAATAAAAGACACAGCATTACACATGTTTATTTGCAAATCTTTATATTAAGGTTAATCAATATCTGATGCTGTATGTCCAACACCAGTTTGAAATGAATAAAAATTGACAAAAGATGGCAAAAGTAAGCAGTACAGTACATTGTGAATATCTACAATTACTGCTGCATAAAAAAAAATCGGTTTTCTTTTCAAAATTCTGAGCAAACATGTTACACAGTAGTAGCTCTTGACACATAGGGTGTAGTAATCTATATTCACCTGACTAGCTATTATTGGGACATTGAAAACTAGTTGTCAGTGTGAAGAGATAGGAGCAGAAGTGCATGAATATTAAAAGACAATTACTTTTTCCTCTTCTTAATTATCACAGCTTCCTTTGCAATTATATCCACAGATGGGGTGTTGTCTTCTCCCACCCCGCTGACTACACCCCTGTGTGTACCACCGAGTTGGGCCGTGTCGCAAAATTGGTTCCCGAGTTTACGAAGAGAAATGTGAAGCTGATGGCAATTTCCTGTGACTCTGTTGAGGACCATCATGGCTGGATCAAGGTGACATTTAGAATAGTTTATCATGGCTAATTTATTGGAGAAATGTTTTAAAATGGTAGGTGATGAAACTAGTGTACTGTATGGTTATAGACTTGCTCAGTGAAAGGAGATGGAGAAATTAGAAATAGCAAAAATGTAATAGTAATTATAATAATAGTAATAATAATTCATAGATCCAAGTCGTGTTTCTCACTTTGATCTTTTTTTCATTCTTGTATTTCTTGATTATTATTTTATTATTATTATTATTATTATTAATAATTGTACTATTATTATTATTGTTTTCATTATTTTATTTTTGTTTTTTATTATAAATTTTATTTACTATGAATAATATTATTATTGTTATTATTATTATTATTATTATTATTATTATTATTATTATTATTATTATTAATATTAATATTAATATTAATATTAATATTATACCACCCCCCCCCACCCCCAGGCCCGATGTGGGTCAGTGACCTGTGCCCGGGTAGGATGATCCCTGTATTAAAAAAAAAAAAAATTGCTCCACGAAAAAACTTTCGGTTTTCAGAATTTTGGATAAGGGGTTGTCAACCTGGTACACTAAAGAACTAAAAAATTTGTTTCTGCAAACTATTTGATATCTATACTTAAATTATTCCTTATCATGCAAGGATTCCAGCAATGCAAGTTATATTCTGATAAGTTTAGTCTGTGACATTTTATATGAAAAACTTTAAGCCTAAAATACCTTACCCCTGTTTTGGGAATGCTTCTTGGGGAGGCGTCTTAGCCCAGAACTCCGAATTTTTTTTTTTTACAAATCTTTAAAAATCCGGATTTACAGGGTCCACTTCTTACACATACATTACATTGTCCATGCTCTTCATTTTGTTTATTTTATAATGTTATAATTTTTATTTTTTGGCCACATCGTGTACACAGAGTGGAATAAGTGTTAAAGAAGTCCGTTCTGCAAATCGGTGCATTTTCATGAGTTTAAATTTCAAAGCAATTTCAATTTTCAAATGAACACAGACAAGTGAAAAACACAGAAATTGGGAAACGCTCAAGAAAATGCTTGGATTTATGGAAAACGGACATGAAAGACACAAATTTGCAAAGTCAACCTGTAGCACTGTGCATTGGGTATCCTAAGAGTGAGGTTTAACTAACAGGGAAATATATCTATCCGGCACCTCTCAATCTCCATAGGTGCCAGATAACCAGGATTCTACTGTATTACCTATATGAAATTTACCTTTCAAATTTGGTGTACAAGACATTTCTTTATCAGAAGAACTACTGTATACTTCCTTATGACTTGGATTAATTATGCCAAATTGCTTTGCAGGACATTCAGTCATACAATTGCCTAAGTGGAGACTTCCCATTCCCAATCATAGCCGACCCAGATCGTGATCTTGCTGTTACCCTCGGCATGATTGACCCAGATGAAAAGACTGCTACTGGTATGCCTCTCACATGCCGTGCTGTTTTTATCATTGGCCCAGACAAGAAACTCAAGCTGTCCATTCTTTATCCTGCAACTACTGGACGCAATTTTGAGTGAGTGTTTGGTAGCCTTTTCAGAAGCACTGCAGTTTTACAGTATTTATCTTAATTTCTACCTGTTTTAGAATGATTTGTATTAAGTTGTTTGGTTTCCTCCTTGCTTGGTATAATATGTAAAATGATGATAGGATGAAACTAATGACAGTAGGATGATTACAGTATTATTCTTGCAAACATAGTGGAAGGTAGGAGGGGAATGATAAGCCTCATAAGAGGTGGGTTAAGACCAAAATCAGTAACAGAGTTGTAAAGGTCTAAAAGTGTATGAGTATGAAAAGTTCAAAGATAATTTTTATCTAAGCAGGAGTGAATGGAGATGGAAATCCTCCTCTCAAATCTACTACAGTAAACCCCTGATATAATGGACCTCAACTTTAATGGATATTTTGACACCTTTTGGACTAGGTTTATCCGTTACGGACAAAGGTTTGTTAAAGTAAAAATTAAGAAACTCGGGGCCCAATATGTTAAAAAAAAATATGGACTCGGGTCTATTTGTATCCAAATTGTTGCAAGTAGTACCCCATTTAGCCCTACAGTACGCTGCATAATACTGATTCGTAAACCCTTTTGCCTGGGTGGTTGGGTGCTGTGGTACCCCCCACATGGGGTTTTTAGGAATATCAGAAAAAAATATTTCGGGTACAGTAAAGCCTCGAATAACGACGGTAATGTGTCCTCCAATATTGCAGTGTAAGGTGAATCATCGTATCGTGAATCATTAATTACCATTAAAATAAAGCAATAATAATGAGATGCGTTCCCAAGTGTGACCTTTTCATATCTTTTGTGTGGCTTTTTACCCTCTTTTCCCCCAAAACAATACAATTAATGAAAATTGCAAACTATATTCTGTCAACAATGTTTCTGAATGCACCTTATACAATATATATGAAAAATAATATGGTCACACAAGAGGGTATCATCTTAATCAGTATCACTTGAACATGATATATTATGCTCCTTGCCTTTTGTTTCTTTCAAAAGCTCCCTCTCATAATCACTTTCGCTATCATCAGAGAGAGCATCTGAATCAGTATCAATACTATCCATTAGATCAAAAAAGTAATTACAGTATTACCCCGCCTAACGCGGTTTCACTTAACGCGTTTTATCATATACGCGGTGCCTCGCTAGAGCTGAACTTTCACTTAACACGGATTTTTTCCACATATACGCGGTGAGTGTCCGGCTCCAGACGCTATTTTTAGATTTGCCCCACCCGCCACCCTGCCTGACTGCCTGTTTTAGCTCATAAAATTCATACAAATTACCCGGCCAGAATATAATTTACATTGCTGGAATTCTTATAATTTGGTGATCATTTTGAATATAAACATCATATATTTTGCATTAGACATACAAATTTTAGATAAAAAATTTTCTCAGAGTAACTATGTTATCTTTTGTGCAAAATATATGACATTTATATTCAAAATATTCCTGGTCTTACAAGGAATCCAGCAATGTCAATTATATTATCCTAACTTTAGTTTGAGGTATTATTTATTACAAAAAGTTAAGTATTCTGGTTTTCCCACACATCTCCTTGGGACGGTTGGTGGGGGGGTGGGGGGGAGGGAGGGACCGACCGACCATCTGTTACCCAGTGAAGAATATATTTTTTTTTTTATTAACTGAAGATATTTGTTTTAGCTCATAAAATTCATACAAATTACCCGGTCTGAATATAATTTACATTGCTGGAATTCTTATAATTTGATGATCATTTTGAATATAAACATCATATATTTTGCATTAGACATACAAATTTTAGATAAAAATTTTTCTCAGAGTAACTATGTTATCTTTTGTGCAAAATATATGACATTTATATTCAAAATATTCCTGGTCTTACAAGGAATCCAGCAATGTCAATTATATTATCCTAACTTTAATCTGAGGTATTATTTAATACTAAATGTTAAAAACTCTTGAAGGGAGGATTGGTGGGGGGTGGGGGGGAGGGTTGGGACTGACCGCGCGGTTGGAAGAGGGGGGGAGGCAAGGTGGGGTACTTTGATTGACAGATAGTGTCCTGAAGATTATTTTTTTTTTTATTAACTGAAGATATTTGTTTTAGCTCATAAAATTCATACAAATTACCCGGTCAGAATATAATTTACATTGCTGGAATTCTTATAATTTGGTGATCATTTTGAATATAAACATCATATATTTTGCATTAAACATACAAATTTTAGATAAAATTTTTTCTCTAGGTAACTATGTTATCTTTTGTGCAAAATATATGACATTTATATTCAAAATATTCCTGGTCTTACAAGGAATCCAGCAATGTCAATTGTATTATCCTAACTTTAGTTTGAGGTATTATTTATTAAAATTTAGTGGTTTTCCCCAAAAATTTCTCAGAGAGGGAAGAGCCGGCAGTGTAGTGTGAGAGGGGGAGGGAGTTGAGTCCATTATTTGAATGGACATTAACTTGGCGACTGTATTTCTCTATTTCTCTTAAGTATTAATTGTGTGCATGTACCATCATAAAATTAAGATGTTATTTTTACTACAACATAGGTATGTGCCTTCAAAAAGTGGAGTTTGGGGGTCGGGCCGGTTTCTATTGGAATTAATCCCATATGTTCTGTTGTTCACTTAACGCGGATTTCACTTAACACGGGACCCTCTGGGTTCTATTGACCGCGTTAAGTGGGGTACAACTGTATCTTGCCCCGACAACTTTGCGGCAGCGGCCAAATCTCGTACTGCTCTCTGTGGCATCATGAAACATGCTGAAGTGTCTGTGTTGTATATGGAGACAAACACACAACCCACACGGTTGGCAACACTCATTATCAGCTACAAGAAACCACTTTCTGCACCACCAGATCACAAACATGACACCCGTTGTCTACGGAAAAAACTCGGTGGCACGTCCTGGAATTATTTTTTACTAGGAAAAAAATTGTGCAAACCATAATACAAGGCAGAAATTATAAGACTGATCATTGGGACTCATTGACAGCAGCCATGCTTATTAAGTCTCTCCACCAATGAGAGCGACGTACCCATGTACGAGCGCAGCCAGTCAGCACTCCTCTTTGTGTAAAAATTTTCTTGGTAGCATTCAACTTCCCTTAAAAGCTCGCTCTTTATATGACTGGTGGTGGCAAGTCATGGTGGTGGCAGGTGTTAGTATTGTAAAGTGACCCCACATAGTCACTTTGGACTATGTCTCCATGCGTGACGAACAGTTGCTACAGACAGCTGATCCCCTGCCTCCACCAAGAAGTCCACAGCTTTCTTGACATTGAATGTTCTCCAAAATTGTTTCAAAAGTACTTCTTGCTCGTTTCATCAAACGAGGAGAGGGACAGAGTAGAGAACATCCACGCCTTACGTGCTGTCAGCCAGTGGACATTTAGCTTGGTCATGTCCATGCTCTTGTAGGTGTGCGGCTTGCGTGCTGTGTGGATCACCGATAACTTGAGCTTACAGGTACCAGAGGCATTGGTGGTAAACAGGACGGTGATGCGCTCCTTCTGCAACTTCCGGCCCCGACACTTGCTGGCATTCTTCACAACGAAAGTCTTGAAAGGTAGCTTTTCCAAAAAAGACCAGATTCGTCCATGTTAAACACCTGGTCGTCGGTGTACTGTCCTTCTTCCATAATCTCACGTAAAAACGGAGGAAATTCCCTAGCCCTAACACGGTCAGCACTAGCTTCTTCACCACCACTGTTAATGTTGGTGATCTTGTTCCTCTTCTTAAATCTTTGCAACCACCCAGAGGAAGCATTGAAGGGTTTGGGCTCTGCAATTCCCATCTTACGTGACACTGCAGCATACAGTTCACATGCGTACTCCTTAACTGAGCACGTGTCCACCGCCATGTTCCGTTGCGCCTGACGAATCAAGTAGCTCGTAAGTAATTTCTCTGTCTTGAGAAGCACCTGGTTGTGGCAATACTTGATCATAGAAGCACCTGTAGACTTTGTGATCTTCATGTGCTCTTTTATCTTGGCTGCATCCTTTTTGATTGTCCTGATCGTAGACTCGTTAACACCATGCTGGCGCGCGAGATCAACCTGTCTTGTTCCTTTCTTCAACTCTTGCATGATCTTGTATTTAATTTCGTAGCTTAGGGCGGCTGGGTCCAGGTAATGCAAGGTTTCTTTGTGGTGGTGGTGGTCCGGTGGAAGCCATTCTTATGGAACAATGGATACCGATATACACGATGTAGCCGGGAGGGGTGTAACTGACGCGGATAGGTCAAGGGTCTTGAACGCTCCCGCGGCGGGGCACATCATAGTACATTAAACCAATCACAGCTAGCTGGTGAAGGAGGTAAGGATGCTTGCCCCAATCACAGTCTGATATGTCATATGACGTCACTGATAACGCAACAAAGACGTACACTGAAAAACCTACTCGCGCCGCTTACCCAACATGGCGGGAGAGATGGCGGGGGGTTTGAATCCAAAAATGGCTCGGCACGAGAGGACTGCCAGCTGCTTTCCGTGAAAAAAGGGTACACGCACCGTGTAAAGTGAGCATTCCGTGTACGGCAGGGTACCGCGTAAATGTGGAAACGCGTAAAGTGAAACCGCATACAGCAGGGTTTTACTGTATATAATCCTGGCAAATGCGGCAACTTCAGCCCCCCTCACCCTACTCCCAGCATGTTTATATGTGCAGTGTCTTGATTCTGATACTTAATAGCTCTCATTAGACCTAAATTGATATGATACATGTGAAGGCAGGATTCGATCAAGATGCACACCATGCGACATCCACACAAACATTCAACCGCACGTACAAACTTGCAAACCATCTGAACTGATGCTGGCGATTTCATAGTTTAATGGAATACCTATACAATCTCTTACATCCTAACTTTCTAAATTTAAGATAATTTTAATGTTAGAAAAACTAAGACTACAGTATGTGCCTCCTAGTTAATAGCACATTACTACATCTGAGCCTACGAATCTTCGAAAAATTCAATAATGCCTTTTGTTTAGGCAAAGAGAGGGGGGGTGGGACTTAATTGGTTGTGGAATAAAGAAGATTGTAGATTCATATAAATTCCTGTATTATGAGGCATAAATTAAAACTGAATTTGTTTGATAATTGTATAATTTTGGTCATTTCCAGTGAGATTCTGCGTGTGATTGATTCCCTACAGTTGACAGCTGTGAAGAAGGTAGCAACACCTGCAGACTGGCAGCAAGAGAGTCATTGTATGGTGCTGCCCTCAATCCCTGCTGAAGAGGCCAAAAAAATCTTCCCCGAACACAAAGTTCACCAGGTTCCTTCTGGCAAGGAGTATCTCCGCACCACTCCAGTGCCAAAGTAATATGAATGGATACTTCTCAACTCTCCATTTACTCTGCACACAGTCTTTGCAGTAAATAATGTCCAGTTAATCTTACCAGATCAAAAACTTACATAAGCACATCAATAATCAAGAATTAAACTTTAATGGATAGTGCATAACTTTAAAGCAAAAGTTTATATTAGTTACTATAACATAATTATGTTAAACATATATGATGGCTTTCACAATTTTATACGTTGACTTGTTTTGGGATTTTTGGCCACTTCACCACTGTAAGAAGTTGCTTGGATGATCCTTCACGTGCCTTTGATGGTGATACATTCCAATAAAGTTGCTTTGCAATAAACATAACAAAAATTATGGTAATTTTTCTCATCCTGGATAAAGTTTGTAACTAGTGCAAAATAAGACAGGTGAAGTTTAATAAGGTTGGAAGTGAATGCTTGTTTGCATTTATTTGAATTAAGTACAGGGTAATTGAAATGTTTGGTGTGTAAAAAAAAATAAACTTGTTCGTAATTTTTGCATACCCTTTCATATAGAAATTAAGTCTTGAGCTTCCAAAGTACTGTGTAATTACTTGTAAACAGAGGTGGATGGCAAAAAATTGGTTATTGAGCTCATAAGACTTGTGTAACTTTTCAGACAATTATTGGTACTCTTCATTACCATTTTCTTGGGTGGGGGAGGCATGTCTCGGTAATGTTGTATTTTACCTTAATACTACAGTTATCACACTAAGTATTATTTTCCATGAGTGTTATATCTGACTTTACTCCATGGCCTTGGAAATCCTTCAGTATTTGTCACTATATTTGACAATTCTCAGTGCTTTGAAATGCTTACTGAGGTTGCTGCTATCCACTGCTGGTCCCCACCAAGGGTCACCCTCCCTCTCTCATGGTGCTGCATGTATGTGCTTGTACCCAAACTATTGGTAAGGTTACGTGACTGAAAATTTTGCTGGAGTTATGGATATTATTGACTGTTGTCTAGGGGCTTTAATTAATTAACCCTTAGACCCCCAGGCGTCATAAGACCCTCTGAACCCCCCCCCCCCCTTGCAGGAATATATCCTTAAAAAATTATTTTATTTTTAAATCCGTTGCCACCTTATAAATGAGTTTATCAATATAAGAAAAATACCAGAAGAATGTACTTATGTACAACTTTCATTGTAGCATAGTTGGAGAGTTGTCTGGAGTCTAGATGGGCAGTGTAGAGTGATGAAAGATGTCTTGTTTGAAGCTACCATGCACAGCCTAGAGCGAGCGGGAAGCGATGTTGACACGCACTTGCAACACACAATTCTTACTTGAAGGCACTTTTATATCATATTTCTATTTTATAGAGGTTTCAAAATACAAAATATTTCCATTTTTCTCAAAAGAACTATGAAATAATGAACAGTAGTAATATTGAGGCAGCACAAAACTTATGAATATTTTCTTAGCACTAGTGCAAGGAGTGTGGAGTTGCCTTGTGCATGCCATGTTTCAAAGACTTGTACACAATCGAGAACGTTCTAAATTCAGTAGAAATACAGTTCCCTTCACTAGTGCATTTACAGACTCATTAGGTTTTGTGTACGGTAGTGTGCTGCAGCGCTGTGTTTTTTATTTGATAGAAGAAAACTTGCAATAGTAAACGTACCATAAAATAAAATTAAAATCATATTAAAACAAATATATCAAAGATAATGATTTGTGGAATGTTTTTATGACGAGCCCCTGTAAACGAACTAGTGAAGGGAACTATACTTCTACTGAATTTAGAACTTCTTAATTGTGTGGAAGTCTTTGAAACATGGCATGCACAAGGCAACTACACACTCCTTGCACTGGTTGTGTTACTGCACCCATGGCACTTCCTCTGGTCCTTTGATTTGGCACCCAGAGGTGGCAAATCCTCCAGGAAGTGGCAAGAAATGAAGTCCTGGGTCAGAAGTCTGTCGGGAACTCCACCATTTGCATGACGTCTTGGTGCAGCAGGTTGCAGCACACCATAAGTCTCCAGGATCCCTTCAATGATGCACTTGCTGAACTCCCCGAATGACATGGAGTGACTTGTCTTGGTCTCGTACAGGTTGTACGCATTTAGCACAGATGTCATGAAGGTGCAAGAACATCTTGTACCATTTTCAACACTTCCGCACACACTCCACTGCACCTATTTTCAATTCACTCTTGCCACCAAGCACATGTTGATGTAGTCAACCAGAGCACCTGGTTACATTATTTTTGCTTTCGTTCCTCGTGCCCTCTTGTCACTGTCAATCATGTCGCCGTTATGGATGGGGGTAAGTAAATTCACCTTCCTTTTATCATGCCAGCAAATGGCTAGCAACTTCATGTGTTTCTTGAGGACGACATCACCACGGACATTATCTTTAATGAAGTGTGGTCGGTTGACCCTATTCAAAGGCACTGGGCTATAAGAGATTAGTGTAACCGTGCATAGACCGTGTCGGAAGGTCATAGTATTTACATCTGAGCTTAGTACACCTCGTTACCCCATATGAAGAATAACCACGAACAATGCAATGATCAGAGAATCTTGTGTGTTCAATGAAGTGAAGTGAGGTGAAGTGGGTATACCCACGCCAAGAAAACACGCTGCTAGGCCTTTGTTTAGGTTGGCACCTAGGCTGCCCCGGGCTATGATGCCGAGTTATTGTTATAACCCAATGAATTTCCCCAGGAACTAGCAAACCAGACCCTTACTTTAGTATGTAATTTATAATTAAGATATATAATTATAAGGCATAAAGTCACAATAGATAGGAAAGTGTATATGTGAGAACCAGAATACAGTAATGTCAAAGTGAAAATTGAAGATTGGAAACTGTAGGCCTAGTTCAGTGTGTAACGCGAGGCATCGCTCTCAGTGACCCCCGGCTTCTCACCAAAACAGGTCAGTGAACTCCATCGTGCTCCATCAGCACTAAAGAGACTTATCTAGCAGTTTTACATCTTAAAACCTTGCCTTATGTTATAAAGTGAAGTAATAGTTGTAATAGTGTGGGGTGGTAAAAGCCCCTCAGGCATTATCCTCAGTGACGCCCGGCTTCTCGCCAAAACAGGTCAGTGAACTCCATCAGCACTAAAGAGACTTATCTAGCAGTTTTACATCTTAAAACCTTGCCTAACGTTATAAAGTGAAGTAATAGTTGTGATAGTGTGGGGTGGTAAAAGCCCCTCGGGCATTATCCTCAGTGACGCCCGGCTTCTCACCAAAACAGGTGTGCGCCCAGAGCGTGGGCCGAGCAACCACCACTGCTCCACTGTGAGGAACCCACCGGGTGTGGTGTGTTCTGCTTATGGCCATTATGCACCTCCACTGGGAATCTGTGGATACCCTACATATCACCACCCAGGATAATTGTGTGTTTGAGAAGTTTCGCGGTCGCCACGTGGAGCGACCTAAGAATACCAGGCGTGAAACCAGTACTGGTATGATTACCTGGGAAGTATCCCATCTACCGAGCAAGAGTAAAGTGTGAGCGAGGATTTCCATACTTGTAGGTGTGGAGGGTACCTGAGATGTGGTGCAATCTGTTGGGTTGGGTGTTATGGTAAGGAGGTCAATGGTTATGAAGAATGAAGATGATAATAGTAGTCATTTGATGGAGGTCGTGTACTGGTGTGAAGTGTAACGAACATAATAATAGTTATTTTGATGAAGGCCAAGCATTTTTGTAGTGTGACTGAAATCGGTATGTTTTGGTTAAGAAATAAACTAGGTAAGTTGGGATTGATGTTTCACCCTTCCTCCCACTCTTTATTTGGTCAATGAAAAACCCAACCCAATGCCTGGCTTGCTCTGCCAGCTACCTAAATAAGCTACATACTGTCCAGGGGGTCTGGTGGCAGTGACCTTAAAATTAAGAGTAGAGTTAAGTTATCCCCTTCGGATTAGTGACCCCAGAATTGGCAGCATAGCAGTGACAGCTTTTCCATGGCAAAAATCTTTCAGGCAGATTAGCACGCTGGTATCTGACCATTCAAGAATTCGACCCAGTGTTCAAGTATTTCCCGGGAAGAGTGATGTGGTTGCCGAAGCTTTGTCCAGAACTTAGCACCAGTGACGCCTGTATCTTCGATCACTCTCGCAATTAAGGGATGAACAACAACTGGATCCATTGTGGTCGGCAGTCATTTTTGCTCTAGAGTCTGGGGAGGAGGCCAATCTTCCAAAGTTGCCTCTTCCGTTCAGTCAATTTGAACTATGACAAGACATATTCCATCGCTCCAGACAGATAGTTCGGGTATTGTTACGCAAATTGTCGTACCTGATGCATTTCAGGCAACGGTATTAACATTGTACCACGATGGTCCTCAAGCAGGTCACCCCAGACGTGACAAATGCCTTGTGGAAATCAGAATAAGGGTATACAGTACTACTTTGCCACCGGCTCCAATTCTACAATATCCTGCAGCAGAACGTCTATTTGACACAATCGCCATTGACTTGTTACAACTTCCGGGGAGTCATCAAGGATCCTCGTAAGTACTAGTGTGTGTGTGGATCATTTTTCTAGATTTGTGATTTTAGTCTCACTGAAGGATAAAACAGCCTAATCCGTGGCTCATGCTCTAGTGATGCACCTCGTATGTCCTTTTACAGCGCCCAAGGTTCTTCTCTCCGACAACGGATTAGAATTCAAGAATCAACATTTAGCACTAATGTGTCGACAATATGGCATCCAACAAAACTTTATCACAGCTTATCATCCACAGGCGAATGGCCTCGTTGAAAAAACCTAGAGATTACTCGTCCAGTAGTAAGTAAAATGCACAATGCTACCTCAAGTGGTAGCCTCTATTAACGTGTTGATCAATGGCTCCATTGGCAAATCGCCCTACTATATTGTTTATGTGGCCGGACAGATGGCCGAAGGACATTTGGTCGACGGATGTCTCACCGAATAACATTTGACCGAACGGACATCAAGCCGACGGACATTTGGCCGAACGAAAAATAGACCGAACGGACAACTGGCCGAACAGACATTTGGCTGAATGGACATACCTGGTATGGCCTTTTTAATTTTCTTTGTATTTTTCTTTCTTTGCATTGTATTTTTTGCACATTTACTAAAGGATAAAAGATATTAATTGTAATGTAATTGCTTTATAAAAATTGCTTCAGTCTTGTGTTTAATATGTGGTAGTTGTCGTAAATAATCAGCATTATTCGGAAACAATCGGCATTATTTTCCCCAATTTCAATTTAACTGGTGAATTACAAGGACTGAGAGGTTTATGTACACTCGCACCAAAAAGTATCGGTGCAGGGTGAGATCGACGAGTTCCGAAACGATACGTATGCACTGTGATACGTCGGGAAGGTTGTTAAGT